CTCACGAACAGTGTGGTTTTTCTAACACTAGTTTTACACAAAATAAGCCAATTTTTGGAATATTTGAACACCGCCAGCTTTCTAACGATGATCTTTTACTTTTTTCCATGTTGTTACTAGTTTAATGTATGATTTATTTGTAAAATCTAAACCAGCAAGGGAAGTATATGTGCTTACAGAATGTGAATTCGGTCGTCTCTACCTACCGACATGTTTAAAAATGATAAAATGCACGAGCGAGCAATGGGTGTTATGAATCCCTTCCGTTTGTTGGATTAATGAGTTAAACTGATTTAGCTGCCTCTTTTCTAACAAATCCTATGTAAATCGTCCCATCATTTAACGAGCAGGTTGCTGATCACATTTCTTGATCCAGTATAATGCATGCTTTCCACTGGGAGGAAAATATTTTACTACCAGGTGAAATGATTACCACCAGTCTGTCTCATTTCTCTGTTTGAAATCCACGCAGCTATGCTAAACTGTCTTAAATCTAACAAGTCATAACACGCAACCAGCATCAGCGGCACTTTAATATATTGTTCTACTTAGATTGTCTGGTTAACATGTTAGCCGCTGAGTCATCTGCAAGGTAATATTAGTTAAAAATCAGTACTAAAATTCGTAAGGCTGCCACTTTCCCGACTTCATTTCGCGTTTGCACTGTAGTCAGCTTTTTCTCCCTGTTTGCTTTTGTCAACGCATTAGTCTTGCGTCCGAACGTTTTTCCTGAGTTGTTTTGGTTTTATTGCATATATCTGCTTCTGCATGTTCTTGTTCCTCATCACCAAAGTAATAGTGTTTGTACCATAGTGCAGCATCGGTGTAACATATTAAGATCTTGCCTCAATAAGCGAGAATACAAATTGATGTAACGGGTAAAGTTATCTGGCTTGCGTCTGAGCGGCGTTTCAACGCACCACACTGGTAAAGAGCATTAGAGGTAGCATTGCTGAAAAAGGTTATTCGCATTGTCGGTGACTAATCGATCCATCTACATCCATTCCATAGATCGTGTTACGAAAATTAATTGTCTAATTCCCACTTGCAGCCTGTCGCATTTCATCAAACGGCGATTACTTTCAACGGTGTCTAGTGACTCTTCGAGTTAACTTCGGCAACCTACTCACATCTCACCGCTGTGTCCATCACATACCCACTCACCTCCGATGCCGCATAGGCTACGATTGAAGATCTGGGCTTAAGTGGTTTAGGCGTTTTGTTTGGAACATTTTCCTCTGGTGTTCGAGTCCCTCCTCCTGGATTCAAGTGATTGCTTCTGTATTACCCCAGCCTGCTTAGAGCTGATTACCGTTACACGGCAGCGATTTATGGATGAAAGGTATTCGTCGATCACCGACACCGTTTGCACAGTTTTACAATATTTCCGATTTTTGTTCCATCTCCATAGCTATATATCTAGCTACCTTTGACACAATTCAATAGACACATCGTAGTGGAGGTCTTTGATGTGACGGTCTTCCATCCCTGCACTTCACCCCGACCATTTCGCCCGCCTTTGGACTCATTAGGTAGAGATAGCCGAGCTGAGTGTATAACTCGGCGCATAGTGCTTGGCGGCCATCGCCACGATCACTAGGTCACTGAGTTCTGCGAGCAGTGCTTGACACAGCGGTTAGGAAATTAATCCCCGGATTTTGGAGCACACGCCATGTGTCTTGGATTAGGACACGCAATCTCAATGGTACCCTTGTTTGACTTTGAAGTCAGCCTCTGCCAGTACGATTACTGGGAGCGCCACCAAAGTGTAGAGCTCCGGCATGGCTCTCTCCTATCCCTGCACTACACGACCAACGGTTTCGTTCTATGTTTGACCCATCAGGTAGAGATAACCGAGTTGGGAGTGTAACTCGGCGCGTGGTGCTTGGCGGCCACAATAGAGATTGCGTGTCGCAATTCAAGTAATACGGCGCGTGCTCCAAAACCCAGAAATCAAACACGCCGTAGTTTCATATGCTTTATTTACTAAGTGTATTCTTTTGATGTACGACAATAAATTGAACCCACTCGTTTCTAACGCATCGTTTGAATTTCTTAAGAGGCGCTAAGTTTTCGCTTTATTTGACCCATCGCGACAAGAGTGGACCTTAAAACATCGTGTTGGTTTGCCTGGGTGGTACATTGTACCTTTTCAGAGTCACTCGTGCTAGATTGGTTAATGGTCAGAGGTCAGATAGACCCAGTTTCTTAGCTTTCCAGGTTATAGTGGAGGTCGCTCTTGACTCCCTAAAACGGACGCTATAATCCAACACTAAAATCTTACTGCCTTTCGGTCGGGTTTCTTAAACTAAAATATTTGACTGCGAATCCTAATCATTCTTTTTTCATGGCCTGACATCCTGATAGCGTTCTGCTGACGCAGTAGAATGAAGCTCTTGGAACAAGCTTTTAATCTCTGCTCGTTGCAGCTAATTATCAACGACGCCCTAGCTGTTGCATCAAGTAGGGTGGATAGGGGTGAGGATGCCACTTCTCGGACCTTCCCGTCTTATTCTTGTATCTCACGCGGTTTTTTTCCTTAAAATCCCCATCTAATTTCCCTTTTATTCCAGTTCTTAGTTCTCCAACATCTTGAACAGTCAATTGCTTGTCTTCTGCTTTTGACTCCCGCGCAATCTCAGAGCGTCACCTAGGTCCAGTCGACAAGTCCATGTTCAACTAATCGGACAACGTTATTGCACAATCGATAACCGGAAGCTAAACACGAAAAATCGAAGAACCATTAAAAAGTAAAAAGGAACATAATATTAGGCCTGGTATACGTTTAGCACCGAAACGGACGTTGGGTGGCGTCTAACATTCTAGCCGGTAATCGATGACACCTAAGCGACGTGTCAACTAGGGGACAGGATAGCATTTAGAGGCGACTGTACCCAACGTATATGGTGCAGGCTACAGAAATAGGAAGCGAAGCAACCAGTGTGAGAAACGGTGCAGCAATACACTTACCAAAACAGTTTTTGTCAACGGATATGCCGTTGGTAAAACAGCTGTACGTTTTGAAGGTTAAAACAACCGTAAAATCCAATGTTGCAACTTACTGAAAGATCGTGTTTTCCGGTACACTACTATAGCCTCCCCTAGAAGGCTGAAGGATGGAAGCTTTCGTTGGAGCTGTTAGTGGAGGAAAACGGGAAGTGTGGATGGGTGCAAATAATTGCATGGGCTTGAATACGGGTTTCTGAGATGAGATGTGTAACAGAGGTCGCTGGACTAGAGTGCATCATCGGTGGACCGTCGGGGCAGACTGGTCGGACTGCAAACAAAACTGGCTGGTCCAGAACAAAGGCTGACACGGCGTTCCCTCCTCTGCAGACCCGACGGTGCGCTTGAGAAGCGTCACTTCCCCACCGCACTTCAGTCCACTGTCCCAGTGCCATGACGAAATCCAGGCGTCCTCGACAGATGAAGAAATCCGGCGTCCTCGTCGGCAACGCCTAGCCAGGCATTAAGTGACCAACCCGTTTTTGACCGTCCGATATCAATTACGACTGGCTGTTTCTTGGGTCAGGAAGTGGGCTTGAGCAGGCCAGGGAGTCACTCAGAGGTTGCATTGAGCCGGTTGGCGAGTCACGTGAGGGCTGCTTTGGTAGTTCCGGCGGTTGAGTTTCTGGAATGTAGAACTCAGGGGAAGTGGGCAAGGGTCGGGGGCGTTGCCTGATCCCTAAGAGAGAACATAGCATGCACAATAAAGGCAAATACTCTCTTTGGGTTTTAGAACTATTTTGGGTTTTGTCTTGTCAATTTCACGAAAGGTTTCTAGGGGAGACGTAGGATTACCACTAAAGACAAAAAAAGGCATGTTAACGGGAATAGCAAACGCTTACAAAATCTATAAAACGGAACTGACGTTTGACCGGTGTACCTCGTCGTTCGGTTGCCTGGGTTTGAGGGTCAAGGAGCACGAAGTTTTTCGGGCTATCAAGTGCTTAACACTCACTGCAGGTGCGGGTGCTTGTGTGATAGCAGTAGGATGATTGGCAAGTGGCTCGCCAACGAAAGCCACTTTGAGGAGCTCGATGGACACCGTTGTTCGGTGACCATTCTGGTCTAAAAGTAAAATGTTTCGGAGTCCATTGCAGGACTGAAAGGGCCAGTGTAGAGAGTCTGAAGAGGGCGCTGCACGGCGTCAGTGCGGAGGAATACATGAGTACAGGTAGAGAGTCCGCTGTTCTTTGCACATCTCCTAGCCTGTTCACCTGCGCTCATCGGAAGTAGTGAACGCATGCGCTGGGTTAGAGAGGACGCAAAGTTAAGCGGAGGCATACCCGTCGATGCGCGAGTTGAACCGAACTCTCCTGGCACCTTGAGCGGTTGTGCCGTACACCAGCTCCGCTGGTGCACACATTGTCAAGTTAGCTTTGATGTTACTGCTAGCGAATTCCTACGAGTACGAGCGAAACGTTTTCGCTCCAACTATTGTCGGAGGACGAGCAGAGCGAGGCTTTTACATGTCAATGGAAGCGCTCAACTAAGCCGTTGGCTGCTGGGTGAGACGCTGTGACATGAATGCGGCGACAGCCTAAAAAGTTGCAGAACATATCGCTTTGTGAAGATTCGCAAGGCGTTTCTAGGTCAGTTGTAATGGTGGATGTGCATCCTTATTTCACCGATCTAAGAAGACCCGGATAAGAGTCTCAGCTGTGCAGTCTGTTGCAGGAATGGATTCTGACCATCTGATGCAGCGGTCGACACATGTAAGAATGTATACGAATCTGCGTGAAGGAGGCGATGGACCTAACAGGTCTAAGTGTGCATGCGAGAACCAAAAGTCCGGGGTGGAGAATGAGGCAAGAAGACTGTGTGTGTCGATCTATTTTGAAGCGCTTGCATTGAGGACAGGCGCGAGCTTAGGTACGAACATCTTTGTTTGCGTGTTGCCAAACGAAACCTTCGGTGAGCAGTTTTAAAGAGGCACGGATGTGATAGTGCGCGGAGTGCGTCGAAAACTATACGTCGGAAGGAGACAGGCACTATGGGGGTGTAGGACAACCTGTGAAAGTATCACGGAGGATGGTTCCTTCCGTGGTTTGGAGAGGAACAGGTTGTATATGCAGCGAAGTGGACTGCAGTTTGCGTTGAATGTCTCCATCCTGGGGCTGAGCCGATGCCATGGCGACAAGGTCGACGGTAGGCAAAGGCTGGAGTGTGAGTTAACGCGTGAGAGATCTTCGGCGACGAGATTGTTGGCACCTGCGCCATGGCGTATGCCAGCAGTGTACTGTATGACAAAGTCCAAGTGTATTGTTTCCCGTGGTGTATATTTATCGCAGATTTGAAGGTGAAGATGAGGGGCTTGTTGTCAGTGTAGACCGTAAAATCGCAGCTTTTGGGTGTTTGCCGGAAGTGACGAACCGCTAGGTAAAAAGCGAGCAGTTCCTTGCCAATTATGCTGTAGCGGGATTCCGCTGGCTGCAGGCGCTTGCAGAAGAACCCAAGGGGTTGCCATTGCCAGCCAAACTGTTAATGGAGGACGGCTCCAACCGCGGCGTCTGAGGCATCAGTCGTGATAGAAAGTGGTGCAGTCGATTCGGAATAAGCGAGGAGAGCTATGTTGGTGCTAGCATCCTTGAGCTCGGTGAAGGCTGTCTGTGCTATGTCAGGGAAAGCGAACTAACCTTCATTCCCTCTGAGTATTTCAGTCAGAGGCTGCATGGGCTGAGCTCAGCGCGGTATGATGCGTCGATAGTAGTTGACCAAACCGCAAAATCGACGGAGGTGCTTAATGAAGTCGGAGCTTGGAAGTCCTTGATTGTCTGAACCTTAGCAGGAAGGACTTCGATACCAGACGATTAAACGAGGTGGCCCAGGAATTCTGCCGTTGATTTGCCGAGTTTGCACTTAGTCGAGTTGACGGTGACGCACTGTTGTATCAAGCGCTGGAAGAGGTTTCGAAGATACTAGGGGTGTTTTGTTCCGATGAACTGGCTATTAAAATAGCATTGGTGTAGGAATAAACGAAGTGACATCGTGAAGAATCTTTGGAAGGTTTGTGCTGCGTTGCACATTCCAAATGACACTGTTATGGATATAAAAAAACTTTTTACAACTCTTTTAGTAAAGTCATCTTTTTATACAGGCATCTGGCGATAGTCGCGAATCAGATCGATCTTGCTGAATATCGTCTTAGCTGTGAGGTATGCGGTAAAGTCCTGCACGTGTGGGATGAGTTACCTATGTGGAACGGTTAGCCGCTTGAGTGCGCGGTAAGCACCGCAAGTGCGTCAGTCACCAGATTTCTTGGGGACAATCTGCAGGGGTGAGGACCAAACGCTGTCGGAAGGCCGGATTATTCCTAGCTCAAGCATGTGGTCAAACCCCGCCCTAGCCACCTTTAGTTTCTCGGGTAATGGTCAACGTGGACAGTATGAAACGGTTATGGCATTTGTCCGTATGTGGTACGTGACTTGGGATGCCGCGCGAAAGCTGCGTTCCTTGGCTGAATGAGCTTGGAATACTGGAGAAAATGTTGGCGTAGCCTGGCGAGGTCAGGGGACGTGCATAGACCGAGGATATAGATGTGATATCGGCCTTGATGCCACATACACTGAGTTTCGTTGCACTGTCGACTTTTGCCTGGTGTTTCACATCGACCAAGAGTTCGAAATGCCTGAGTATGTCAATGCCGATGATGATGAAGTGAGTGCAGCAACAGTGAATACCCAGCGGAACGTGCGCCGAAGACCTAGGTCTAGGGTAAGCGACCGACGACCGTAGGTATCTATTGGTGTACCATTGACAGCACTCAGGCTTGTCGACAAAGAAGCGATAGGCTCACCTGGCATAGGGGGAATGACGCTGACTTCCGTCCTGGTATCAACTAAGAACTGGATCTCGGAATCTTAATCTCTAATGTAAATGAAACAGCTTTGCGTTTTGCCGACGTCGTTTATAGCCATTACAAGCCGGCGTAGGGGATTTTCTGTTGTGGGGTAGCTACATGGCTGTACGGGCTTTATTACCGAAACGCGTGTGGTAAATGCGGTAACCTGGGCATCAGGTTTTATGCGACGATGCGGTGATCCAGAGCGACTGCTGTGCTTACGGTTTAAGGTAAGCTCCTCCGTCTGGCACCGAAGCCACGCTATTTGCAATGATACTGCGTCTATTGCGGACGGCTGGCTAGTCGCGGGTGTTAGTGTGGTTGCGCCAACACAAATCTGCTTAGGTGCTTCGGTTTTAGTCTCTGGATGGTGCCGTTCGATGACACGGTCTGCTAGATCTTCAATTACTGTATGTGACAGATCACTTGCTACTGTAAGGATAGCCTGAGAGCTTTCAGGAAGACATTGTATCCACAGCTCGTGGAGAATCCCTACGTCCAGGTTAGGCGTGCCAATGAGCTGTTGCTTTGCGCGCAACTGGGCTGAGGGCATCCTATTTTTATGTATAGACCACTAAATAGTTGCTACAAACGGAGCTTGTCAGAACACGTGATTGGGTCAATCATAGCCTGTTTATTACTCTCGTATTTCATTACTATAGGGGGACAAAATTTGATGTCACTTGCCTGCGGTAATATGCTATGAGGAAGGCGAGATGTTAGATGATTATACTTGGTGAAATCGGAAGATATTCTACAAATATGAACGAAGGATCATCCCCCCAACAAGGCAGCGGGGCTGACGCAACAGTATTGACCATGGCAGGATATAAAGCGGTAACCGAAAACGGAGGTGGTGTAGAATACTGTCATCTAATAATTTCGGGTGCGGAGGCAAATACAGTCTTATGCAAAAACACAATAGAATAACAATCTTGTACACTTGCGTCACAGTTGTTCCTTCAGTCAATGTTATTCCGATGCCGACTAGTAATTCGAAGATGTAAATCCAACTACTGGAACAACATGGCAGCAGCACAAGCACAGACAGCAGCCATCGATACCAGCATGACGCGTGCGCGTGGACATTGTTTTATTCAAAAAAATTTTCTTTTTATACAAATGATACAAATTGCTCGGTACCGGACTGGATAAAGCGAAGATAAAATACAGTATAGTTGTAACTACTACAGAATATACTTCTCCCCTAGAGCTTGCGTTGGTAAGCAAGGCTCTATATAGCATTCATGGAACATATGGTGCTAGTTTGGAGGGCAATGAAACAAGACGACCCGAACGTGTGTGTGGATAGGATCTCTTGTTGGGGGGGGGGCAGAGGGTTTCCGAGGTTTGGAAATCGCTCATGCGTTTTTCAGTGGTCGACGGCCCAGGCGTGAGAGGGTTGTGATTGCTTGAGGTTGATTTTGAACTTTCCAATGTTGAATCGACGTATACGGGTTTACGACGATCCATGCCCACGAACTCCTTGGTTCCATTCTTATCCAGGAGGAAGTACTTCGGTTTCCGCGATAAGACCTTTCATGCACCTTTATAAGGCAGTGGCAAGCGTCTTCGAATAGCATCGTTTCGGATAAAGACGAATGAACAAGTATGCAAGTCAGGATGTATATGCTGCTCGCATGTGCTTAGTTGTGGTGGTGGTGGTGGTGGTGGTGGTGGTCTAATGGATCGAAAACGGTGCTTCAGTCCTTCAACATAGGACGTACGATTCAATTCGCCGGTGACGCTTGAGCCCAGTATCATCTCGCCTGGGAGTCTGACGGTTGTGACAAAGTCAATTTCAGCTGGGCAACATCCGATATCTTCTTTGACGGCATTATCTATACCGGGAAGAATAGCTAGAAGGCGTTTAGACCAACAGGCACCAGGCATACTAACTTTAATGGCAGCTTTCAGTTGTTGATGAACTCTTTCAACAAGGCCATTGACAGCAGGATGATAGGCAGTCATCTGAAACTGAGTACACCCGAACAGTCGACTCAAGTCACGGAAAGGGTGTGACTAAATGGTGATCCTCTCTCAGTAGTGACACTGGGTGTCACACCAAAGAATGCAATCCATGATTCAACGAAAGCATGAGCAATAGTTTCAGAGGACATACCACTTAAGGGAATTGCATGGTGAAAACGAGTAAAGAGACCAACACAAGTCAACAGATAAGTGAAACCGTTAGAAGCTGGTAACGGTTCTACTACATCAAGCTGAATGTGTTTTAATCGGGCTTCAGTGAGTTGTAACAGTGTGTCTGTGAACCTTGCTGGTTTGACAACTGAGACAGGTTTTGACCCATTGTCGGATGTCTGTGAGCATATTGGGTCAGATGTAACGGTCAGTAAATAGTTTCACAGTAGATCGAATACTGGGGTGCGTTAATCTATGAAGATGGTCAAAGACCACTCGCCCGTAAGACTGTGGAACAGCCGGTCTAAGTTTACCGGTGGAAATATCGCAGTAGGTTCTTGCGTCAGAATTGAGCGCGGGCAATTTCAGGCTTTTTAACGAAACGTTCGATCGAAACTGTGGTGATTCTGGGTCACTGGCTTGGACAACAGATATTTCCTCTAGATCCATGGGCGGACGTGAAATCTGTTTGATGTGAGTATTGGGTGGTGCGTCGACAACAAGGTTGTTAGGACCAACAATATAGCGCATATCAACAAAAGATTGGGAAGATAATCAAGGTGTCGAGTTTCATTAGGGGAGAAACGGTCAGAACTTGCGCGAACAGCATGCACAAGGGATCTATGATCTGTCAAGTTGATAACACGTCGAGCCTCAAGTATGTGACGAAAATGCTTTACAGCCAGGTACATGACAAAGAGCTCTCGACCGAACGTACTATAGCTGGCCTGGGCAGGTCGCAGCTTTCGCGAGAACAATGATGAACAATGAACGATAAGTTATCACGGGTAAAAAAGCATGTGCTTCACAAGTCCCGTAGGATGGTTGGAGTAAACCTTAAAATTGGAAGGATCATCAAATAAGTGAGTCGTTATGTTAAGCGTCTGCCAATTTAAATTCACTACGGCATAACGGTTGTTTGAAGTGGGAATCGATATGCACCCACAAAATAGTATAAAGTGCCGTAGTAGTTCATTAAGTGCGTGAGAAACTAAAAAGGAAACGACAACGCTCACTCCTGTGTTGATTCCTTTTACAGCTGTGATATGCTAATCCAGTTTAGTTACATCCAGGCTATTCACAGGGACACGTACGCATGTATCCTCACCGCCTCCTTGCGGAGAGGACCGTTAAACACATGGTTAGGTTTGCGTTATTTCGTCCTCCAAGTGGAACGGACTATATCAGTAATGCACGTTGGTAAGCGTTTCAACAAGCCGTTTTTGCATACCGTTAATGTATGGACAAGAATAAGATGAGTGGGAAGGGCATTCCAGGCACAGGGCACACGGAGAAAGAAATGTTTCGTTGACAATCAAGCCGACTGTAGTGCGTAGCCAGCTTGAACTGATGGCCTCTCACGTTGGTATTTTGACTCAGCTGCAACAGATTGAGACATGAGTAAGTTGGGTTCATCAATATTATATAAACCAGGATTAGGTCTCCTCGCTGACGTCGATATTCACCACTGTACAATCTCAGGGACTGCAGTCTGCGTTGGTAGGAGAGATGAAACAATCCCCTAACGAGTTTGGTCGCTCTACGTTGTGGAGCTTCAAGTGCATCGACGTCGCGCTTGCGCCAAGGACGCCAGGCCTGGATCGCATATTCCACGTGAGGCACTCATGTAGGTGTTTCAGGCATTTGCGGAAAGATTGATGGCTCAAAACTGCCGAGAGCCTTCCGTAAGAGTCCAAGATGTTGACTGGCTCTTTTTGATGACTTTTCAGCCTGTCTCGATCAAACCAAGATTCGACCGCACGATCACCCCGAGGTCGCTTTTCTTAGGGAAGCACGTTGTAACTGCTGGTCCCCAAGTCGATATTCATAGATAAGCTGATGGCAGTATGCTTACGACTTTGCACTTGGTCACGTTGAACTGGAGCCGGTTGTACCGGATGACCACGCATAATCCCTGTCGAGATCGCTCTGCAATGCCATGTGATCATCCGATGTCCTGATATCATGCCAAATTTTGATATCATCTGCAAATAGTAAGAAATTCGACTGCAGTACACTGGCAAGATCGTTAATGAATGTGAGGAATAAACGTGGCCCCAGTACCGATCCTTGAGGCACGCCACACTGGACGTCAATTGGGTCGGAAATGGAGCTGCGGACTCTCACATTCAGCTGACGTTGAGCGAGGAAGTTGCCGATCCAACCGAGTATAGGGTCACCGATTCCATAGCTTCGAAGCTTGTGAAGGAGAATGCGGTGGTCCAAACAATCGAACGCTTTCGAGAAGTTCAGGTAGACAACGTCGACTCCCACTCTGGCATCGGCTGACTCTGTCCAGCTTGCTCGGGCTAGCAGCAAGTTTGTAGTGCAGGATCGATTTCGACGGAATCCGTGTTGCTGTGACACTAGGATGTTGTTGCTCTCAAGATATCCCATGAGCGCCTCTGCAATTATACATTCCATTACTTTGGATAAAACTGGGAGGAGAGTGATTGGACGGTAGTTCGAGGGCTCCGAACGATTAGCACTTTTGTAACTAGGAGTGACTAGTCCATGTTTCCACATTGTGGGAACCTGCATTTCGTCGAGACAACGTTGAAAGAACCGAGCTAATGGTTCGGCAAGGTTCATGGCCGCTGTCTTCAATGCCTTCGGTTTGATGTCGTCCACGCCAGGTGAGCTGTGCACGCGCAATGACATTAGCGTTTTCATCACATTGGCTGCCGTGAACGATACGTGGTTTAATCCTGGTGGCGATGGAAGCTGTGTCAAAGCG